CTTTCCAGGTTAACCTTATTTGACCCCCTTTCGCATCCAACCTCTACTTTAAACCCCAAAAAATTTTTGAAATTTTCACATTATATTCTCTTTTCTCCTTCCATAACTGATCCTTCAAAATTACTGCTACCCCTTCCTTTGCTCTAAAATCTCTCAGTCTCCGATTTAATCCCATTTTTTTCCCCCCCTGAAACTCCCCTACCCCCCTTTAGCTTTTTTTCGCTTGGGCCGGACACCAAATTTTTTTCATTCATAAAATCAGCAATAAAAACTAAAAACATAAAAACGAAGGAACACGGCAGAAGGCCTATGGCCCCTGCGAGGCAGGTCCCAAATCTCCTACCCGGCTTTAAACCCAAAGCACCCAACCTAGACAGGTCGGTCACATGACTTAAGGGGGGGAACACGGAACCGACCTGTCAGCACAAGCTATCAGGCTAACTCACACCCACCCCCATTACTCATGTATTTATCCAACCTATTTTTAAAACTACACAACGCTGGCCTCTATAACGGTACTTGGGAGTTTGTTCCACTCATCCACAACTCTATTACCAAACCAGTACTTTCCTATATCCTTCCTGAATCTGAATTTTTCCAACTTAAAACCATTGCGCGAGTCCTGTCAAAGGCTAGATATTTTCAGCACACTATTTACATCCCCTTTATTTATTCCTGTCTTCCACTTATACACCTCAATCATATCCCCCCTAATTCTACGTCTTTCAGAGAGTGCAGTTTCAGGGGCCCTCAGTCTATCCTCATAGGGAAGGTTTCTGATACATGGGATCATCTTTGTCATCCTCCTTTGTACATTTTCCAGAGAATTTATATCCATTCTGTAATCGGTGACCAAAACTGTGCAGCATAATCTAAATGAGGCCTAACCAAGGATGTATAGAGTTGAAGAACAACCTGAGGACTCCTATTAATTTTTGCTTCTTGATATGAAGCCAAGGATTCATTAGCTTTATTGCGAACCCCTTATGCACTGTTGTCTTGGTTTCAGATTACTGCTAACCAGAACTCCTAAATCTTTTTCGCAATCCGTAATATTAAGATCTACATTTTTTAGTTTATATGTGGCATGGTTATTGTCCTGTCCAACATTTAGAACTTTGCATTTGTCTATATTAAACTGCATCTGCCACTTCTCCGACCACTGCATCAGTCTATTCAAATCTTCCTGGAGTGCTCGAATGTCCTCGTCAGAATGAATTCGACGGCCTATTTTGGTTGTCATCGGCAAACTTGCCGATGTCGCTCTTTATGCCCTCATCTATGTCGTTTATGTAGATTGTGAACAGCAGGGGGCCCAACACTGACCCCTGTGGAACACCGCTCGTGACGCTACCCCCCTCTGATTTCTCCCATTTAAAGCAAACTCTCTGCTGCCTATTTGTCAACCATGCCTCTATCCAGGAAAAAAATTTCTCCTCCTATTCCATGTGCTTTAATTTTCCTCAATAGTCTCTGATGTGGGGCCCTGTCAAAAGCCTTACTGAAGTCCATATACACAATATCATATTCATTACCATGATCTACCTCCTCAAATACCTTAGTGAAAAAAGTTAATAAATTCGTAAGGCAGGAATGCCCCTTTGAAAAACCCATGCTGAGATTTCGTTGATTAATTTATGCTTTTCAGGTGGCTACGAACTGCCTCGGCAATTATTGATTCCTTTAAATTTTCCCACTATTGGAGGTTAGGCTTATTGGTCTATAGTTCGAAGCTAAGGACCTGTCCCCTGTTTTGAAAAATAGGTATCACATTTGCCATTTTCCACTTATCGGGCACCATGCCAGTTTGTAGTGATAGTTTGAAAAGATTAGCCAAAGGTGTGCTAAGCTCCTCTTTACATTCCTTTAGAACCTTGCATACAGTTCATCAGGGCCTGGGGATTTGTTAGGTTTTAATTTATTCTATTTGCCTAAGGACCATGCCCCTTGTGCCCCTAATAGTGCACAGTTTATTATCGTCCTGTTCTACATAATTTATCATTACTGGAATATCGCTGGTATCCCCCTGTGTAAAAACTGAGAGGAAGTATGTGTTAAAAATTCTACACATTTCCTTATCACTGTCAGTGAGTGACCAGGAACTTTTGAGTGGGCCTATCTTGTCCCTGATTTTACTTCTGTATACCTGAAAGAATCCTTTTGGGTTAGTCTTCGATTCTCTTGCAACTTTAACCTCATAATCTCTTTTTGTTTTTCTAATTCCCTTTTTATTTCTCTCTTTAACTGAATATATCGATTTCTTAATTGCCCCTCTCCTTTTTTTGATTTCCCCTATATATGCCTCTTTTTTGGGACCAATCAGATTTTTAATCTATTGTTCATCCATTTAGGATCATTTTTGTTTGATCTGATTTCCCTATTTGGAACAAAATTTTGACTGAGCAGCTAAACTATGCCCTGGAAAGCATCATATCGGCAACCATCACCACCTACCTGACCCTTAATCAGGTCATTCCAGTTCAGCCCAAACCCAAGTAATTTTTTCAGTCCTATAAATCAGCCAAGCGAAAGTCCGGGACGGAGACTTGATTGCCATTATTAGGGGGAAATTTCCCTGATATATTAAAACTGAGTGATTTGTGATCACTCCCCCCAAATTCATCATTAACCTCAAGATTATTAATTAGTGTTTCCCTACTGGCAAGAACCAAGTCAAGGAGGTTATTTCCCCTAGTTGGCTCTGTCACAAACTGTTTTAAAAAACAATCCTGGATCGTATCAAGAAAGTCACCCGACTCAAAATTTCCCTGTAAAATTGCCCCAGTCAATCTGTCTATAGTTGAAATCTCCCATTAGCACAACATTTTCGTATGTAGATGCCTTACGAATTTCGTCCCATAGAAGTTTACTGCACTCCCTATCAAGTTTTGGGGGCCCCTGTAAATCACACCCAAAATTTGTTTTCTCGGCCCTCGAAAAAGCTGTAACCAAACAGATTCAGTGGCTGACGCTTCTAAATTTAATATCTTGTCTAACACAACAATTTAAATTGTCTCTGACATACATCGCTACTCCCCCACCTTTCCTGTTGACCCTGTCAGTGTGGAAAAATTTTTATACCCTTGTATGTGACATTCAGAGGGCCATCTCTCTATCTTTCAGATTGAGCCAGGTCCTCTGTTATAGCAATATATCTATGTTTCCTGCACTTGCAATTAATCTTAGCTCATCTATTTATTTCTAACACCCCCTGCTATTAGTATAGTAAACCTTAAGGGAGCTAGTCCCTTGCTGCCCTCTGCTGTCCCCCTTTGTTTGCTGACCTGTTCTATTGTCTTTATTTATAACTTCATGTGAATGCCTTTTATACATTTACTGTTTCCAACCCTAGTGTTGCAACCTGCTTGTTTCCCACACACACCCATACCTCTATCTTCCATCAGTTTAAAATCATAGGCATTTCACCAAGGGCCTTCTCAATCGAGTCTGCAAGTGCTACCACCCCTGCCCAGAGAGATGTACCCCATCCCTTGCATACATATCATGTTTGCCATAAAAGTTGTTCCAGTTGTCAATGAATGGGATTGCAAGTTCCCTTGCAGTATCTGTCTAGCCAGCAATTTACACCAATTGCCCTAGGGCAACCATTCATTTCCTATCCCCTTCTAGGCAAGATGCTACATATGATTGGGATCCCTCCCTTAGACTTAATGAAAACTATAGCGACCTGTACTTATCTAGCAGCTCTTCTCTCCTACCCTTCCCAAATCATTTTTCCACCAGCACTGAGACAGATAATGGCTTGTTCCCATTACCTGACATGATATTATCCAGCCTGTTGACAATGTCCCAACACCAGCTCCAGGGAAGCACACTCTATCTCTCATCTTCTTATTCCTATTACAAAAAGCACGGTCAATATATCTTACCTGAGAGTCACAACCACAGAATGCGCTTACCTTCATTAGCAGGGCAGTATGTACCCTTACCTTCACTGGCCACTGAAGTACATTCATCCTGGAGAACAGAGAAGCGATTTCCTACCTTCAGATCTTCACTCTTAATTTTCTTACTCTGATGCGCCTCCCATTACTGTGAACAACTCGCCACTTGTAGCAGGTGCTGGGCTGCACCTCACTGCTGGTAGCCATTGCTACCTGCCCAACTACAGCCTCCTCACAGCGAGAGACAGACTGCACCTCACTGCTAGAAGTCTCATTCCCCACAACTCCAGCCACCTCACACTCTCTCCCAGACCCATTGAGGTGGACCTTCAGCCTCCTAATCTCCTCCTGGAGAAGCAAGACCTCCTCCTTCAACTCTCCAACCTCAGTTTTTAAAACACTGCAGAAGCAAGCCATGCTTTGTAACCGTCCACGCTAATCCCCAAAGCAGCTCAGGGTCTGTGACCTCACGTGACGACTGACCACTGACCACTGTTTCTTGTCATCCGCACTACATCCACGCACATTCAAGCATCCCAGTTTTATAAAGTTTTTCTTCTTCTCTTTTTTAGTAAATGTCTACAGGAGAAGGGGTTACTAGCCCATTGCTCTATCATATGCCTTTTCTAAATCCATAAATGCAATGAAAACTTCCCTACCTCTATCTAAATATTGTTCACATACATGCTTCAATTTAAACACCTGATCTACACACCCCTACCCATTCTAAAGCTTCCTTGCTCATCTGCAATCCTGCTCTCTGTCTTACCTCTAATTCTTTCAATAATAACCCAACCATACACTTTACCTGGTAAATGCAAATGTAAATGCAAAGTCAAAATAAAAAATCTGATTACAAGATGTTAATTACTTACCTTAAAAATGTGTGCCTGAAAAAGTAATGCCTGCTCAGAACAACTGTACAAACTACACAGTAGGAGCACTGCCTGCTTACATGCATCTCTTTTATTTTATCGGCCTTTCACCTGTGTATTCAGCATTTTAGTAGTGAACTAGCTCACTGTGTTTGATAAAGTATATTACACTAAACTGTTTTAAAAAGTAATTATTAATAAGGAGAGTAGAAGGCCTTACACAAATGATGACTGGGTGATTCTCCTTTCTCCAGTGTGCTAAGTGATGGTCTTCAATATTTTTCACTGTCCCACATTTCACATTTGAAGAAAGGCATAACTCTGTAAACAAAAGAATATAATTATTATTACTAGGTATCATGCTATAGTATATCAGTAGATAGCAACTAACCAGGAAGGTACTGCGACTGTTGGTGAAATATAAAAATTTGTTAAATGTTCTGCATTCAGGCAAGATTGCTAATTTTTTTTTGTCTTATGAGTATTAAGTTGCAGTAGTAGTAACTACTCTCAAATGGCAATTAAACTGTCTGAAACATGGAACAGTTACTGTTTTCTTAGCCAGCAATACAGAAAAAAAAAAGTAAATTCTGAAGTAGGGTTGTGGGAATTTATATTATACAAATAAAAATGTACTCTAAACAAGTGATTAGAGCATTAACCTTAAGTTTCAAATGACTTTGGTTCTCAATGTTACTTGAAATATTTTGCCAAATATCTTTAATATCTTACCTAATGGTAAGTGGTAATGCTGAACATAATACAGCAGCTCCTGAGATCCACCACTGCTTGGATGAATAAATGTACCATGACCTATGCGATCCACAAGGCCAGTTCTCAACACAGCCAAAGTTTCTGCTTCATTTGGTATCTGAGGAATGAAAGTAGTATGTCAAGAATTAATACATTGATAGACTTTTTTTTTTTTTTAGCAAGTCAGCTGTCTCCTACCGAGGCAGGGGACCCAAAGAGAAAGAAAATCCCCAAAAAGAATATACTTTCATCATTCAACACTTTCACCTCACTTACACATAATCACTGTTTTTGCAGAGGTGCTCAAAATACAACAGTTTAGAAGTCTCTTTCTTTCTTTCAACACACCGGCCGTATCCCACCGAGGCGGGGTGGCCCAAAAGGAAAAACGAAAGCTTCTTCTTTTACATTTAGTAATATATACAGGAGAAGGGGTTACTAGCCCCTTGCTCCCGGCTTACGGAGGAAGAATTCTGTTCCACTTCCTCATGGAGAGAACAGGAAATAAACAAGAACAAGAACTATTAAGAAAATAGAAGAAAACCCAGAGGGGTGTGTACATATATATATGCTTGTACATGTATGTGTAGTGTGACCTAAGTGTAAGAAGAAGTAGCAAGACGTACCTGAAATCTTGCATGTTTACGAGACAGAAAAATGGACACCAGCAATCCTACCATCATGTAAAACAATTACAGGCTATCATTTTACACTCATTTGGCAGGACGGGAGTACCTCCCTGGGTGGTTGCTGTCTACCAACCTGCTACCTAGGAGTTTAGAAGTCTATACGTATAAAGATACACAACATATCCCTCCAAACTGCCAATATACCAAACTCCTCCTTTTAAGTGCAGGCACTATACTTTCCATTCCAACTTTGATGGCAATTTTCCTAACTATAACCCTCAATTATATTAATGGGGAAGCACTAAACTCATAGGGGTTACACAGTGCTTAGGTAATGGGAGGGAATCAGGAATGATCCAAGAAAGAGGAGAGTAGCTCTAATTCCTTGGATATAAGAGGCCTTCATTAGTATCAAGGCACTCCTTAAAACTCGCACAGAATTAGAGACAAAAATTGAACAAAAGATATGCATCAATCAGTAAAAATGACTTCTTCCCTCTTTATACAAAAATTATCAACCAAGCCAATGACTTTTAACATAAAATTTGTCTACTGTTATTGTACTTTTAAATATCATTTATTCACTCTTCATACCTCTGCCAAGTGAATGGCCAATTTGAGACCACATTTCTTGGCTTCTTCTAAGACAGGGATGTAGTTTGTTAAATTCCCACATGCTGGATTGCCACTGACATCCAAACCACATATCAGGTTCTTGTATATCTCCTGGAAAGATTACTAGTAATAATTTATACATGTCATTCAAAACTGAAAGCACTTTGTTTTAATAAATACTATAATAAAAGTTCCAATAGCTATCAAATGTAAAAGTATACAGTTGCTGAGAAAACTTTAATAATTACAGAATAAATAATAGGAAAATGAAATACAGTAGTTCAACTGTAGAACAGAACCTTCTCTGTCAAAGCCCACAATGATTGATGATCAAGAGCCTGCTACGGTGCTCCTGTTCCACCTAATGTGTAGTGGCCTTGAGAAGCCACTATATTTAAAAAAAATTTTTAGGCCAATAAGTGATTCTTCATTCAACCCAGTTGATTAACCAGTTCGTTAACATCCCACAGTATATGAACCATTGGAGAATATGTCGCAGTATATTGTAGAATTACACATTATTATGCCAAGACATCAACTAAGAATCTTAAATTTACTTCTATTCAGCTTGCTTTTTCATCTAATTCTCTAACCAGTGAGTTGAAATTGAACAGCACTGTACTTGAAAAATTCTGAGCTCCAAAATCTTTCAGTTTATACAGGATTTTATATTTTAACACACTGGCTGTCTTCCACCGAGGCATGGTGACCCGAAAAACAAGAAATCAAAAGTTTTTCTCATTTTTACATGTAGTAATTTGTTCAGAATTTTTTTTTACAGTATTATGGAATTTTATATTTTAGAGACAATTTAGCTAACATATATACCCATGGTATCATACAATCCAGTAAGTCTGGCTGTAGAACCCAATTTTACAAACATTCGAGAAAAAATGTTTGAAGTATCTCCACCATATTTCCTTACTTACCCCACAAAGAGGAAGGATTGAGACAGTTGACATGAGGTCATCTGGCAAGTTCTACTTTTGCTTGATAAATATCATAAAAAAAAAAAAACCAGCCATGATATCTGACTACAACATGCCATATTTCCATTAAGTCTACCTGTAGAACCTGATTTTTACATAAAGATCTTTGTAATGTATCTGACTCATTCCTACTCTTCCCTACACAAGCAATGGTTTACATCATGGATAATTAGAAGTTCTACAAGTTTAGTGAACACTGCTTATTTTGACTATGATTGATAATCTTTTTTTTTTTTTAACAAGTCAGCCATCTCCCACTTAGGCAGGGTGACCCAAAAAGAAAGAAAATCCCCAAAAAGAAAATACTTTCATCATCATTCAACACTTTCACCTCACTCACACATAATCACTGTTTTTGCAGAGGTGCTTAGAATACAACAGCTTAGAAGCATATACGTATAAAGATACACAACATATCCCTCCAAACTGCCAATATCCCAAATCCCTCGTTTAAAGTGCAGGCAATGTACTTCCCATTTCCAGGACTCAAGTCCGGCTATATAAAAATAACCGGTTTCCCTGAATCCCTTCAATAATATTACCCTACTCACACTCCAACAGCTCGTCAGGCCCCAAATACCATTCGTCTCCATTCACTCCTATCTAACACACTCACGCATGCTTGCTGGAAGTCCAAGCCCCTCGCCCACAAAACCTCCGTTACCCTCTCTCTCCAACTTTTTCGAGGACGACCCCTACCCCGCCTTCCTTCCCCTACAGATTTATACGCTCTCCATGTCATTCTACTTTGATCCATTCTCTCTAAATGACCAAACCACCTCAGCAACCCCTCTTCAGCCCTCTGACTAATGCTTTTATTAACTCCACACCTTCTAATTTCCACACTCTGAATTTTTTGTATAATATTTACAACACACATTGCCCTTAGACAGGCTATCTCCACTGCCTCCAACTCCTCACTGCAGCATTTACAACCCAAGCTTCACACCCATATAAGAGTGTTGGTACCACTATACTTTCATATATTCCCTTCTTCGTCAATATAGATAACGTTTTTTGTCTCCACATGTACCTCAACACACCACTCACCTTTCCTTCATCAGTTCTATGATTAACCTCATCCTTCATAAATTCATCTGCTGACACGTCAGCCCCCAAATATCTGAAAACATTCACTTCTTCCATACTACTCCTCTCCAGGTTGATATACAATTTTTCTTTATCTAAATCATTTGATACCCTCATCACCTAACTCTTTTCTATGTTCACTTTCAACTTTCTACCTTTACATACTCTCCCAAACTCGTCCACTAACCTTTGCAATTTTTCTTTAGAATCTCCAATAAGCGCAGTATCATCAGCTAAAAGTAACTGTGTCAATTCCCATTTTGTATTTGATTCCCCATAGTTTAATCCCACCCCTCTCCCAAACACCCTAGCATTTGCTTCTTTTACAACCCCATCTATAAATATATTAAACAACCATGGTGACATTACACATCCCTGTCTAAGACCTACTTTTATTGGGAAGTAGTCTCCCTCTCTTCTACACACCCTAACCTGAGCCTCACTATTGTCATAAAAACTCTTTACAGCATTTAGTAACTTACCACCTATTCCATATACTTGCAACATCTGCCACATTGCTCCCCTATCCACTCTATCATATGCCTTTTCTAAATCCATAAATGCAATGAAAACTTCCCTACCTTTATCTAAATACTGTTCACATATATGCTTCATTGTAAACACTTAGTCCCTGCTTTGTCTCTGTAGATGCCTTCCTCTCCCACTACATTTCAAAATGCTCCAAACTTCAGAACACTCGTGACCTAACCTGATTCCTCCTTTTTTCTTCTCTTTCTCCCTTTCCTTTTTCTCCTTTGAGTTGTCTTTCTTCTGCCCTGTCTATTTGTTCCTTCTTTATTTGTTTCCCCCCCCCCCTCGGCATTCTTGCTCTTACCCTCTGTGGGCACTAGCTCCCTTGCAGTGCTCCTCTTTCTTAGTATTTGACTGGCCCCTCCTACTCCTACTACCTCCCCACTACTACTTCCTTCCACCTCCACTACTACCACTGCCACTACTACTACTACTACCACCACCACCACCACCTCCTGCTTATATATACCCATCCTGCTCTCCTTCTCGTTAGTGTGACTTTGTAAATGGTCCAAGTCGGACCGAAACGTCGTCGTAAGTTCCTGTCTTCTATGTGCGGGTTATTTGTGTATCGTTCCAGTCATGGTATTGTGCCTTTTTTTTGCTATTTAGTTGCTTATATCTCACCTGAACTTCCTTCTCCCTTAGTTTATACACTTTCACCTCTTGAAAGTGTAAAACTTCTTGTTGCCATTTTCCTCTTGTCCCATCTACCTCTTACTCTAACTGTAGCTACAACTAAATAATGATCCGATATATCAGTTGCCCCTCTATAAACATGTACATCCTGGAGCCTACCCATCAACCTTTTATCCACCAATACATAATCTAACAAACTACTTTCATTACGTGCTATATCATACCTTGTATATTTATTTATCCTCTTTTTCATAAAATATGTATTACTTATTACCAAACCTCTTTCTACACATAGCTCAATTAAAGGCTCCCCACTTTCATTTACCTCTGACACCCCAAATTTACCTACTACTCCCTCCACAACATTTTTACCCACTTTAGCACTGAAATCCCCAACCACAAGTAGTCTCACACTTGGTTCAAAACTCCCCACGCATTCACTCAACATTTCCCAAAATCTCTCTCTCTCTCTTCTCCAGGTAGGTTGGTAGACAGCAACCACCCAGGGAGGTACTACCATTCTGCCAAGTGAGTGTAAAACAAAAGCCTGTTATTGTTTTACATGATGGTAGAATTGCTGGTGTCTTTTGTTTGTCTCATAAATATGCAAGATTACAGGTAAGTCTTGCTACTTCTACTAACACTTAGGTCACACTACACATACATGTACATGTTTATTTATGCAAATTTGTCTGAGTTTTCTTTGATTTTATCTTAACATTTCTTGTTCTTATTACTTTTCCTTTTATATCCATGGGGAAGTGGAATAAGAATCTTTCTTCCGTAAGCCATGCGTGTTGTAAAAGTCAACTAATATGCTGGGAACAATGGACTAGTAACCCCTTTTCCTATAATGATTACTAAAAAGAATAAGAAGAAGAAAATTGTCAAAAAATCTGTTTCATATATGTACTAAATAGTTCTTGAACTGTGAGTGTAAATCGAAAGGCTGTAATTGTTTTACATGATGGTAGGATTGCTGGTGTCTTTTTTGTCTCATAAACATGCAAGATTTCAGGTATGTCTTGCTACTTCTTCTTACACTTAGGTCACACTACACACCTGGAGTATACCTGGAGTGTTCTGGGGGTCAACACCTCCGTGGCTCGGTCTGTGACCAGGACTCATGGAGGATCTGGCCTGATCAACCAGGCTGTTACTGCTGGCAGCATGTACTCCAACATATGAACCACAGCCCGGCTGGTCAGGTACTGACTTTAGGTGTCTGTCCAGTGCCTGCTTGAAGACAGCCAGGGGTCTACTGGTAATCCCCCTGATGTATGCTTATTGTGTTGTCTCTTTATAGTGCTAGTGGCACCCCTGCTTTTCATTGGGGGGGTTGTTGCACCATCTGCCGAGTCTTTTGCTTTCATAGGGAGTGATTTTCATGTGCAAGTTGGTACTAGCCCATCTAGGATTTTCCAGGTATTTATTTTTTTATTAACATTGGCCAATTCCCACCAAGGCAGGGTGGCCCGAAAAAGAAAAACGTTCATCATAATTCACGCCATCATTGTCTTGCCAGAGGGGTGCTTTACACTACTGTTATAAACCTGCAACATTTACTGCAACATGTATCTCTCATTTCTGCGTTTTAGGGAGTACAGGTTTAGGAACTTCAAGCGTTCCCAGTAACTGAGGTGTTTTATCGCAGTTATGCATGCAGTGAAAGTTCGCTGTACATTTACTAGGTCAGCAGTTTTGCCTGTCTTGAAAGGTGCTGTTAGTGTGCAGCAATATTCCAGCCTAGATAGAACAAGCAACCTGAAGAGTGTCATCATGGGCTTGGCATCACTGGTATTGAAGGTTCTCATTATCCATCCTGTCATTTTTCTAGCAGATACACTCCAACGTGCTGTTGGAGTGTGAGCAAAGTAACATTTATGAAGGGATTCAGGGAAACCGGCAGGCCAGACTTGAGTCCTGGAGATGGGAAGTACAGTGCCTGCACTCTGAAGGAGGGGTGTTAATGCTGCAGTTTAAAAACTGTAGTGTAAAGCACCCTTCTGGCAAGACAGTGATGGAGTGAATGATGGTGAAAGTTTTTCTTTTTTGGGCCACCCTGCCTTGGTGGGAATCGGCCAGCGTGTTAATAAAAAAAAATAAAAAAAATAATAAAATAAAACAATTGATACAATGTTATGGTCCTTGAAGGTGAGATCATGTACAAGCATATATATGTATACACCCCTCAGGGTTTTCTTGTATTTTGTTACTAGTTCTTGTTCTTGTTTATTTCCTCTTATCTCCATGGGGAAGTGGAACAGAATTCTTCCTCTGTAAGCCATGCATCTTGTAAGAGGCGATTAAAATGCCGGGAGGAAGGGGCTAGTAACCCTTTCTCCTGTATATATTACTAAATGTAAAAGAAGAAATTTTCGTTTTTCCTTTTGGGCCACCCTGCCTCGGTGGGATACAGTCGGTGTGTTGAAATTAAGATGTTCTTGAGCTGAAGTCTCTTGATCTGGAATGGTTGTCCTTTCCTCTTGGTATATTCATATACTTGCCTTAAAAATAAGATACAAATTTAGATACAATAACTATTCAAAATAAAAAATGAGAATCCCCCATGATTTACAGGTAATCTTGACAAGTCACATATTACATACATGAGTTTTGTATTCTTTAGCTAGCTGCAGGGTATTCCAAGCATCATCAATGCCACGTGAACGGTCAATGGACAACAGCAATCGCACAGTAATGCAATTGGTTTTCATTTCCTGTCTGTAAGTAAAATATTCAAGAAAAAATAAAATTGTATCAACATATTTAGCAAATATACAGTGGACCCCTGACATTCGATGGCATCGACATTCGATAAATCCGACATTCGATGCATTTTAACGTGAAAAATTTCGCCTCGACATTCGATACAATTCGTACGAGACATGTCCACGTGTGGCCTGAACTGCCCCGTGTGCGCCAGTGTTTACAAGCCAGCCAGTGTGCGCGCATCTAAGGATACATTCGGTACATTCCATATTATCCATATTATCACTGTTTTTGGTGCTTGTTTCTGCAAAATAAGTAACCATGGGCCCCAAGAAAGCTTCTAGTGCCAACCCTTCGAGAAAAAAAGTGCTAATGACTACTGAAATGAAGAAAGAGATAATTGCAAAGTATGAAAGTGGAGTGCGTGTGTCGGAGTGCATGATGATTTGATAAAGAAATTGCCTGTAACTAGTGGTGATGTGAGTGAATTTAAGGCCAGCAAAGGTCGGTTTGAAAGATTTAAGAATCGTAATGGCATACACAGTGTGGTATGGCATGGTGAGGCTGCCAGTTCAAGTCCTAATGGAAGGGGATTCCCCTTCTAAACACTAACACCATCCACACACTCCCCTCCTCCCATCCCATCAATCATCACCAGATCTTCATTAAAGGTAAGTGTCAATTATTCTATTGTTATTAATCTATTGTTACTGTTATTGTAATTATTCTATTGCATTAATCTTAATATTTCAAGTGGTAAAATTTTTTTTTTCATACTTTTGGGTGTCTTGCATGGATTAATTTGATTTCCATTATTTCTTATGAGGAAAATTAATTCGACTTTCGATATTTTCGACATTCGATGAGCTCTCAGGAACGGATTAATATCGAATGTCGGGGGTCCACTGTACTCAGTACCCACGATATACTGTACTATTAAAATGGTAAAATCTTTTAATTTTACCTGAGAAACATTGCACACAGTGGGTAATTTTAATTTTAATACACCAGTATCTCCCATAGCTGCATCATTTTAATCTTAATTCAATACATCATGATCAATCTATTCTTAAGTTCCATAATATCCTGGATAATGTAAGATAATTTAATGTACATGATACATATGAGCTTACATTCAAGCACTGAAAACTGATCACACAGACCCATTTTATGACGAATTAATCACAAGGCATTTGATCTCAGACACTAAAGATAGGGCAGTTATACTGCACCTCAGTGTATATATGTAATAGCACCGAGACTGAGGGGGCAGTGTGTAGTGAGGTATGCATGTACAGTACCATACTGAGCAGAAAATTCCATTTGACATCTGCTGAAAATTTTATGGAGTTGAAGACCTAACAAAGAAAATGATACAGTATTCTGGAAACTGCTAACACATGCTACAATGAAAATTTTTTACAGGAGGATCCATATTTTGAAATACTTATGGGAGGTCACCCTACCTCAGTGGGAGAGGATCAATGTTAAATAAATAGGCATCCTTTCCTAATGGGGATGTCTAATAACAACACATTATGATTCACAACTAATCCACAATTTGGAAAGACAATTAGTATGCTGTATCAGTCTGACCTGGGCCAATATTACAGTAAGTTGCAATTAATTAACAGATGTAACAGATATGATAATAGTCCAGGATGGACCAAAATGTTGTCTAAAGTTTCCTTTCCAAATTGCGAGCTAGATGTGAACTGTTCCACCCAAACATTATACTGTATTATTATTTTTTTTTTAACACGTCGGCCATTTCCCACTGAGGCAGGGTGACCCAAAAAGAAAGAAAAACCAAAAAAGAAAGAAAAAACTTTCATCATTCAACACTTTCACCATCGCTCATACATAATCACTATCTTTGCAGAGGCACTCAGATACGATAGTTTAGATGATTTTTATTATTCTTCCAAACTGCCAATATCCCAAAACCCCTCCTTTAACCCTTTGACTGTTTCAGTCGTATATATACGTCTTACTAGCCACCATTTTTAACGTATATATACTCAAAAATTCTAGCGGCTTCAAATCAAGCAGGAGAAAGCTGGTAGGCCCACATGTGAGAGAATGTTACTGTATTTACCTGGAGAGAGTTCCGGGGGTCAACGCCCCCTCGGCCCGGTCTGTGACCAGGCCTCATGGTGTATCAGGGCCTGATCAACCAGGCTGTTACTGCTGGCTGCATGCAATCCAACGTGCGAGCCACAGCCTGGCTGGTCAGGTACCGACTTTAGGTGCTTGTCCAGTGCCTGCTTGAAGACAGCCTGGGGTCTATTGGTAATCCCCCTTATGTATGCTGGGAGGCAGTTGAACAGTCTTGGGCCCCTGACACTTATTGTGTTGTCTCTTAACGTGCTAGTGATACCCCTGCTTTTCATTGGGAGAATGTTGCATCGTCTGCCTAGTCTTTTGCTTTCATTAGTTAGTTAGTTTAATGTTTATTATGCACCCCATACCCATCCTGTGGGCGGTAGTTAAAAGATTACAGAGGTACATAATGGGTCCAGGGACTGGACCCCAAAGTTAAGTTAGCTGAACTAGTTACAAAGGTAATGAACTCCAGGTAGATCTGGTCTCGTAGAGAGTGATTTTTGTGTGCAAGTTTGGTACTAGTCCCTCTAGGATTTGCCAGGTGTATATAATCATGTATCTCTCCCGCCTGCATTCCAGGGAGTACAGGTTCAGGAACTTCAAGCACTCCCAGTAATTGAGGTGTTTTATCTCCGTTATGCATGCCGTGAAGGTTCTCTGTACATTTTCTAGGTCAGCAATTTCACCTGCCTTGAAAGGTGCTGTTAGTGTGCAGCAATATTCCAGCCTAGATAAAACAAGTGACCTGAAGAGTGTCATCATGGGCTTGGCATCCGTAGTTTTGAAGGTTCTCATTATCCATTCTGTCGATTTTCTAGCAGATGCGACTGATACAATGTTATGGTCCTTGAAGGCGAAATCCTCTGACACGATCACTCCCAGGTCTCTGACGTTAGTTTTTCACTCTACTGTGTGGCTGGAATTTGTTTTATACTCTGATGAAGCTTAAATTTCCTCATGTTCATCGTATCGGAGTAATTGAAATTTCTCATCGTTGAACTTCATATTGTTTTCTGCAGCCCATTGAAAGATTTGGCTGATGTCTGCCTGGAGCCTTGCAGTGTCTGCAATGGAAGACACTATCATGCAGATTCGGGTGTCATCTGCAAAGGAAGACACGGTGCTGTGGCTGACATCCTTGTCTATGTCAGATATGAGGATGAGAAACAAGATGGGAGCGAGTACTGAGCCTTGCGGAACAGAGCTTTTCACTGTAGCCGCCTCAGACTTTACTCTGTTGACTACTCTTTGTGTTCTGTTTGTGAGGAAATTATAGATCCATGTACCAACTTTTCCTGGTCAGTGTGCACCATATAAAAAAATATCCTGCAGCACACATTGTATAATGAGAAAAAAAAAAACTGTGTTTTTGGATTAAAATGCCAACTTTGTGGTGTATTTTCATATAGTATTTATGGCTGTAGTCTCATTTGATAGAATGGAAAACATATTATAAAAATAGAGGTGATTTTGATTGGTTTTACCATGAAAAGAACCTTGAAATTTAGCTCAAAGTAGGGGAAATGTTTGATTTTTGCCGATGTTCAAAAGTAAACAAAAGATGTCATTGTCCAATAAATGTCCAACTAGCCATTCTAATATGCAGTCATGTATGGGTTGACATTATTTATACAATTATTACAATATTGCAGAAGTCTGCATAACAGTAAATCTTCTATTTTTTGTTTGAATAAAAATTCAAAATAGAAAGCAAGAGTAATATCAGAGGGGCCTGGAGACGTGACTGATGAACAAAGAAAATTTTATTTTATTCTGGACCCTAATTTGAAAATGGCACATTTTTTAATTTGTGTGAAATTGGCCAAATTGCAAATTTCTGACCATGTTATTGGGTAGTTGAAATTGGTAAATGGGCAGTTTATTGTACTCAGTCGATAGAACAAATGGAGCTCTAAAGAAATAGCTATGAGTTTGGTCAACTGGAACAATGGAATTAGCCGAAAATAGGGCTCAAAGTGGGCGAAATCACCAATTTGTAAATATCGCCGAGGTTGCTAACTTCGTGAGAGGATAATTCCACAAGTTTTCCATCAAATTTCGTTCTTTTGGTGTCATTACCATCGGGAAAAGATTCTCTATGATTTCACGAGAAAAAATAACTTTTTTTTTTTTTCAAAAATTTTTTGACACAAGGAGACACCTCAGGATTTGGGGTTGCAACAGTCAGAGGGTTAAAGTGCAAGCACTGTACATACTTCCCATTTCCAGGACTCAAGTCCGGAGAGTGCTAGTGCTAAATTCATAGGGGTCAGCAAGCCCCTAGGAAATGGGTGGTAATCAGATCTGACTTAAGAAAGGGTTAGATAGTTCTAATTCCCCTAGGTAGTAGGGTGGTAGACAGGAAACACCCAGAGAGGTACTACCTTCCTGCCAAATGAGTGTAAAATGGAAACCTGTAATTGTTTCGAGAGTAGTAATTGTTTCAGAGAGTAGATATACTCTCGAAATTCTTCAAAGATATGGTAGGACTGCTGGTGTCTTTTTTGTCTCATAAACATGCAAGGTTTCAGGTATGTCTTGCTACTTCTATTTACACTTGGGTCACACTACACGTGTGTGTCTTCTTTTAACGCACCAGCCATATCCAAAAGTAGTGGGGTGGCCCAAAAAGAAAAACAAATGTTTCTCCTTTTAAATTTAGTAATATGTACAGGAGAAGGGGTTACCAGTCCCTTGCACCTGGCATTTTAGTCCCTTCTTACGACATGCATGGCTTACAGAGGAAGAATTCTGTTCCACTTCCCCATGGAGATAAGCAGAAATAAACAAGAACAAGTACTCAAAAGAAAATATAAGAAAACCTAGAGGGGTGTGTATATACATTATATGCTTGCACAACACATGCATGTACAAGCATATATATACACACCCCTCTGGGTTTTCTTCTATTTTTCTTACTAGTTCTTGTCCTTGTTTATTTCCTCTTATCTCCATGGGGAAGTGGAACAGAATTCTTCCTCCATAAGCCATGTGTGTCATAAGAGGCGACTACAATGCCGGAAGCAAGGGGCTAGTAACCCCTTCTCCTGTATATACAGTGGAACTTCTACTTATGAGTGCATCCACGTACGAGTTTTTCCAGATACGAGCAGTTGCTCGGTCGATTTTTTGCTTCCAGACACGAGTGAAATTTCCATATGTGAGTGGGTCTCAAGGGAGATTCCTTGATGCTGGTGAGGGGCTCTTGCTCTTGATTTAGGGAATTGGATCTCAGTTGTTTGTTGGACTATCTTATTGAAACTTGGGCAATGTATGATGGAAAGATGCTTCTTAGCGTACACCAAAAATGAAAGAAATTGGACCATAAATAACGGAGTTCACTTCTCAGCTATTAGCTTCCCCTTAGTGGCGTATTTTCGTATGGCTTTTATGGTTGTATTCTCGTTTTTTTTGTCTCATTTGATAGAATGGAAGATATACTACAGAAATAGATATGAGTTTGATTGGTTTCAAGATGAAAAGTACCTTGAAATTGAGCTCAAAGTAGCAGAAATGTTCAATTCATTGGCGATGTTCAAGAGTAAACAAATGACATCACCATCCAATACCTGTCCGATTGGCACTGCCCCTCAACCTTCACATATTGGAAAGTTCTTCAACACGCTAGCAAAAGTGGGAGCAGACATCATGAGGTAGCAGTGGCAGACAACATGAAGCAGCAGTGGCAGACAACATGAAGCAGCAGTGACAGACAACATGAAGCAGCAGTGGCATACATGAAGCAGCAGTGGCAGACATCATGAAGCAGCAGTGGCAGACATCATGAGGTAGCAGTGGCAGACAACATGAAGCAGCAGTGGCAAAGAGTAGCATTAAGAGTGTAGCAATTAAGTGTAGCATTATCTACTACACGAGGGTCATTAAGACTATCTACAATACGAGGGTCATTACTAGGAATAAGGTAAAATTACACGTGTGTTAGCTAAAAAAATAAAAAATCATTCCCCTCCCTTTCTGTAGCTACCTTCATCAGACACCTTTTGGCACTCTTCTTGAACTGGTCCAGTCACAGCATGTTCAAGAAGAGTGCCAAAAGGTGTCTGATGAATGTAGCTACAGAAAGGGAGGGGAATGATTTTTTATTTTTTTTTAGCTAACACAAGTGTAATTTTACCTTAATCCTAGTAATGACCCTTGTAATATAGTCTTAATGACCCTCGTGTAGTAGATAGTCTTTTTATTATGAGAATAAGATGTTATTTCCATTATAGAATAATAATAAGATATTATAATCTTTATATTATAATAATAAGGTAAAAGGACCCCAATGGAAATAAGTCACTCTGTCTGACTTTTTTGGGTTATCCTAGGTTCTTTACACATATGCTGCTATGTATGATAATCTATGTAACTGTATTGTGTACACCTGAATAAACTCACTTAAGAGTGTAGCAATTAAGTGTAGCATTAAGAGTGTAGCTCTTATAAGTCACTCTGTCTGACTTTTTGGGTTATTCTAGGTTCTCTACACATGTAGTAAGGAGCAGGAATGGCCACTGTGGTGGCCCTATAAACCCCAACAACAATGGCTGCTGTCACCACCACTAGCCACATACGTAATGACGTATTTTATTCATTCTAATGTATATATTATGTTTCTTTGTTATTAATATTGTTTATTGTCATATTACATGAATTGTGATAGATAAATAAGCTGTAGAGTTGATATTAGGGAAATTATTGAAGTGTTTTCACATGCCTGGAATTCCACTGGAATGAATTAATTCCATTTAAATTAATTTAAATGAGGAAAACTGACTCTGCAAACAAGCAAATCCAGGTGCGAGCAAGGTCATGGAATGGATTAAACTCATAAGTAGAGGTCCTACGTCCTACTTTATTACTAAAGTTAAAAAGAGAAACTTTCATTTTTCTTTTTGGGCCACCCTGCCTCAGTGGGATACAGCTGGTCTGTTGAAAAAAGAAGAAGTTCTAATTCCTTGGATGAAGAGTCCCTCACTATGATTAAGGCACATTCCATCCTTGGAGGAAAAAATACATTATAATAGGGACTTACAATATGGCTTCTAATACAGTCTCTATGTAATCTTTCTTCGTCATTTTATTAGGGACTGATTTGGGTGTTGTTCTCAGCTCTAAGTACTTGACATTATCAGAAGCAAATTCCTGTATGACATCCCTGGTTATATTCTTAACTGTCTCCAAGTTGTCTATCAGGTAGTGTAAAATTCCAAATATTTGAAAGCACCTGAAAGTAAATCTTATTAGAATTGTGGAAAAACTTTAAACAAGTTAAGAATTTAGAACACAGAATTATAATGGATTTTTTTAATTTAAGATTCAAATGTCATAGCCAGCTTGCTCTCATGATTACAAAAATATATTGCAATGATTCTTATATGTGCGCTTAATGTATTTTTCAGGCTGTTTCAACAGCACAGCTTTATGTGAAATAGTCAATATGAAGAATATTTCTGTTACCTATTTTGGCTAATTGTAATTGCAATGCAGAGCATAATTCATCCTGCCTAATAATGAATAATATGTACATACACAGTGGAGATGAATAGTTTTTTGGAATTTTAAGGGCTGTCAGAGTGAGTACAGTGTAATATTTGGAAAGAATTCAGGAATGAGTAAGAGTGGGTTGGGGATTTCTCATTTCAGAGTGCCATTTGAATTGTGATCTCCATGCAGCTCTGGCAAGACAGCTATAAAATGAGTGATGGTAAAAGTTTTCTTTTTTTTTTTTGAGTTACCTTACCTAATTTTTTTATCACTATATACCCTATGTATTTTTTTTAACATGCTGGCAGTTTCCCACCAAGGTAGAGTGACCCGAAAAACAAGCACTTACCATTACGCACTCCATCATTGTCCCACCAGAGGAGCGCAGATATGACAGTTTAGAGTTACTCTAAACAGCAAAAATACCAAACCCCTCCTGTAGAGTGCAAGCACTGTATACTTCTCACCTCCAGCTAACCAATTTCCCTGAATCCCTTCAAAAAAAAAAAATATTACTCTGTTCACATTCCAACAGCTTGTCAAGTCCCAAAAACCATTTGTTTCCACTCCTATCTAATGCACTCACACATGTCTGCTGTATGTCCATGCCCCTTGCACACAAAACCTCTGATATCCCCTCCTTCCATCTTTTCCTAGGATGTGTTCATCTGGATTAATCTAGAACCTGATAAAAAATACTGCACTGCATTACTGTATTGAATATAGCCAAAATAAACTGAATATATAGAATTAAAGAAATCGAAGGAGGAGGATTAACGTAACTCTTCCAGTGTACGTCTGTGTCCCCGCCGAATTGTAACCTCAGCAGATTTTGGCAAGTTGACGTGTACGCATTTCAGTTTGGAATTGAGGAGTTTTAGAACTGTTTCATCACTCAGGGATCCTGTAAGATGGGCATGCAGTTCCTGTAAATATAGTATAAAAGTTACACAAGTCACAATGTCCCGATAATGATGGTGATGATAAATAATAAATAATCAATGATAAATTTTATTTCTAAAAAGTAGCTTACATGTGCATGAGAAAAAGGTGACATTTTAACATACTTTATAGGAAGCAAGTAATTTGTTGGAAGGTTTAGTAAAACAATTTGCTATAACGCTTGTAGAGGTTATTACATATGTTGGTCAGATATGAATGTAACTACTGATCTAAATTTCACAAGGCATACAATAAACTGGAAGCTATGACCATAAGCAGTTTAAATGTAACTGACACTCTTCCCTAATTACTACTTGCTCTAAATAGCTTGAGCCCTGTATATAGCAGGCTTGTGTATTAAGCTGTTCACAAACATACAGAAATTATTATGAAAGGAATACTGTTAAGCTTTAGTTGATTCCCTCTCACATAGGCCTCCAGGAACATGACAAAGCTGATGAATTAGCTAAACAAGCATTAAATAATGAGAATATTGAGCATAATTTGTTTTTTTCAGACATAAGTTTATAAACACTGTCAGAAACGAAATAGCAAATGAGCTTGAAGACAGTAGAATAGTACATTATAATTATTATAATCATGGGGGAGTGCTAAAGCCATAGGATTATACAGCACATGTAGGGGGGGGGGGGAATGGAAGGCATTCAGGATCAGTTTGGGGAACTGGAGCACAGATCCAATTCCCTGGATCAAGAGCCCCTCACCAGCATCAAGGAACCTCCCTTGAGGGGAGTAGAATAGTACAGATACGAATTAGTTGATTCATTATCCATCATAATGAAATGTGTCAAGTTAAACATATCTATGGAGAAAATAACAAGGTTAACCCTTTGACTGTTGCAACCCCCAATCCTGAGATGTCTCCTGGTGTCGCAAAATTTAAAAAAAAAAAATTATTTTTTCTTATGAAATAATAGAGAATCTTTTCCCGATTGTAATGACACCAAAAAAACGAAATTTGATGGAAAACTGACGGAATTACGCTATCGCGAAGTTAGCGACCTCGGCGCTGTTTACAAATCGGCGATTTCGCCCACTTTGAGCCCTATTTTCGGCTAATTCCATTGTTTCCAGTCGCCCAACCTCATAGCTATTTCTTTAGAACTCCATTTTTTCTATCGATTGAGTACAAGAAACTGCCCATTTACCGATTACAACTACCTAATAATGTGGTCAGAAATTTGCAATTTGGCCAATTTCACGAAAACTAAAAAATATGACAATTTCAAAATAAGGTCCAGAATGAACAATGCAGAAATTCCTGGCTCTAAAATAAAATTTTCTATGCTCATCAGTCATGTCTCCAGGCCCCTCTGATATTACTCTTGCTTTCTATTTTGAATTTTTATTCAAACAAAAAATAGAAGACTTACTATTATGCAGACTACTGCGATACTGTAATAATTGTATAAATAACATCACCCCATTCATGACTGCATATTAGAATGGCTAGTTGGACATTTATTGGACAATGGCATCATTTGTTTACTTTTGAACATTGGCAAAAATCAAACATTTCCCCTACTTTGAGCTCCATTTCTAGGTTCTTTTTATAGTAAAATCAATCACAATCACCTCTATTTCTATAATATGTTTTCCATTCTATCAAATGAGACCAAGAAAACGAGAATACAACCATAAATACTATACGAAAATAGACCACAAAGTCGGCATTTTAATTAAAAAAAAAACGGTCGGATTTTTTTTTTCTCATTATGCACTGCGTGCTCCAGGATTTTTTTTTATATGGTGCACACTGACCACACAGACCCATTCTCTCACATGTGGGCCTACCAGCTTTCTCCTGCTTGATTTGAAGCCGCTAGAATTTACGAGTATATATACGTCAAACACGGTACCTCGTAAGACGTATATATACGGCCGCGACAGTCAAAGGGTTAATAGATTGCAAGATGTTGTTACTGCTAGACTAGGCTAGGCAATAAGTATCCCTGGCAGTAAATTTGTTTGGAGATGTCAGTGACATAAACTATAAACAGTGTGGACAGAGATGGCCAAATACTGAAGAATTATATCTTAGTGTGTCCAAACATCTAATCTTTCAGAGACACCTCCATAAAAACTTCACACGATATGGCAGAACACCTCAATGTTCATTATAAGATATCTGAAATCTTGAGGCTGTATCCACATTTTGCACTGGCTAGATGAATGAGCTATTTTTATAGATATTGCAACCCAGTTATGACCGAAGTGTTTTAGTGGTAATAAGACATCAATTTTGTTTGAGATTGTATTCTATACTGTATTGTGTACATCAACTAAATAAAATAATTGTAAAATATTAAATGGCTAATATTTCTTTCCAGTGATGTAACAATACTCAGTGAGGTCTGACAAAGACCTGTTGTGACCTCTGATTTTTTTTTTTTTTTGTGCTACTGCTCAGAGGATGAACATGGGGTTCACAATAACTAGCAGCTCAGGTAACACAATAAACAAACTGAAGGCCCATAGATTGCACAGCATCTTGGGCAACACTTAGCCTACATTATACTTAAAAAATTTAGTTAATTCAAAATAAAAATCACAATAAGAAAATAAAATTGTCAAGCTTAGCAGTGTGAGTGATACTACAGTGGTTACTTGGACTGCCATACAAAATATGATGAGACAGTATATGCTATCTAATAATATATGGGAAAGGAAGAAAAGCTGGAACAAAAAGAACAGGGATAGAATTAGAAGAAAACAAAGTTTCAGGCTTTGTTTTCAAGATCACATTTATGGTATAGTGTTTTTTAACAGTAGCTTTGAAGCAGTTGGCAGATAGGGAACCTCTGCATAAACATCACACAGAAAACAAGACAGCTTACCATAACCTATTATTTTAAATATGTAATACTGAGATACACAGAGTATGTGAACTAGCATTTTGTAGGTTCACCCTTCCTCTTGATGCATTCCTTAAGTATCCTAGGTACTAATACAGTACAACAAACTTATGTTTATTAGTGACTTATACTCTATATTACCAAAGTGCTTTAGCTATATACTTATCCAAACTTCCCACTACTACAGAAATCAGTATTAGAACTCACCACACAATACAGGATATAAATAACCACTATTTAAACCTAAAAGATGAATGATCACGTTGACCCTGATCTAAACCTCCATAATCTAACACACAATCAAAACTTATTGGAAAGTAACTGCCTCCCTCATGCACACACTTCCTACTGTTACCCCTCTTGCCCTGGGCCACAGTGATTTCACAAGGGCTGTTTGGAAGGGAATCCGTCATCAGTGGCAAGAGGGCCTTGCACACTCCCTCTCTTCTTCGGCGTTGGGCTCTGTCCGAATTTTTAATGGCCCCTGCCCTTGGGCTCGCCATCCCAACCGCTCGGTGGACGTTGCACTGACCTGCCTTCGAGTCGGGCACTTGCGACTGGTGGCTCATCTGTATCGCCTTCGGATGACGGATTCTCTGTACTGCCCGTGGTGTTCCTCACAGCCTGAGACGGTGGAACACTTCCTGCTGTGGTGCCCACGTTATCACTCTGCACGGACTACTCTCCGTGCGGCCTTGCGCACACTTGGGGTGCACACTTTCACTCTACCTGTCCTCCTCAATGGGGAGGGATTTCGCCCTCTGGACCGTCAGGAGATATTGGCCTGTACCTGCTCCTTCCTGCTGGCTTCAGGATGTATCAGCGACATATGATACAGTTATTAGTCAAGACATTCTTCCACTTTGGTCGATATTCCCTCTCCTAGCACTGGACAGCCAGGCTCAATACAGCATCTGCTGTCAGTGGCTATGAAACCCAACAGAAGAAGAACACAGCATCACAAGCCAGCACTATCCTAAACACTGCTCAAAGGCTATCAGTTCTTAACTACAACATCAGGTCCTTAAGCAAACACTATGATGACCTCCTGGCACTCCTTGAGTTGCTAAAGACACCCTTCTCCTGCATTATTCTTACTGAGACCTGGCTTAAGCAGGACACAATAGATATCTACCCACTACCAGGATACACAGCAATCCACAACTGAAGACCATACCAAGTTGGGGGTGGTATTGCAATCTATTACTCTAACCAACTATCTTATATTAGCACCACTTGCTTTAGTGATGAATATGGGGAATACATTTTTGCTAATTTTACTGTAAAAAACCTTAAGATGCCTATAACAATTGGTGCCATTTACAGGATACCCCACACAAACATCCCAAATTTCAATGAGAATCTAAAGGCACTAATAACAAACAGACAGATGAACAAGCACCATCTTCTCTTAGCTGGAGACTTCAATATCAACCCTGGCCTACCAGATGATCAGCCTGTAACTGATTTCATCAACAATATGAACAACACACTTCTCATACCAACAATAACTAAACCAACCAGGATGACTGAGACAAGTGCAACCGTAATAGACCACATATGGACCAATATACTAGCCCCCCTTAAATCAGGGATAATCACAGACAGCACTACAGACCACTACCCAACCTTCCTCTTAACAAACATTAGTAATCCACCACTCGAATACAACAAAGTTTCATTTAGATTCCATGACGAGGCCTCAATAAGGAATTTCACAGCAGACCTAGAGACTGTTGACTGGCCTACAGAATTCTCCAATGCCAATGGTATTGACGATTGGACAGACATTTTTCTTAACAAAATACTTAGACTATACAACAAACGTTGTCCTATAAAAATGAAAGAGATCACAAATAAACGGCTCAGTTGCCCATGGCTAACCAGCAGCATTCTGAAATCCATTGATAAGAAACACCAATATGAAAAGCAATATAGACAGGGCTTAATACACAAAGATATTCTTAAACAATATTCATCAGTTCTCACCAAATTAATAAAGAAAGCCAAACAACTGTACTACTCCAGCAGATTCACTGACACAAGAGGAGATATATAAAAAAAGACCTGGAAAACACTTTCCCAGATTCTGAGGACCCACAAACTGAAAAAAACAAGAATACTGTCCTAACCAAACCTAATGAAACACCACTGCATCCCACTGATACAGCTAACAAGATAAACGACTTCTTCTCAAACAAAGGATCTGACCTCGCCAGTAAAATCCCACGTACCAACGCCCGTGCCAGGGACTACCTAGATGGGAATTTTCCAAATTCCCTCTATCTTGTATCAACTGAGCCCACAGAAGTCACCGCGATTATAAAGTCACTCAAAAATAACTCGGGGAATCTGTCTTATGTCCCACCATTATTGTACAAACAAGTGGCCCATGTCCTTTCACATCCTATTACATTACTTTTTAACAAGTCACTAGAAACTAGCACTTTCCAGACACTACTCAAGACAGCAAGGGTTACACCAATACATGAAGGTGGTGACCCTACAGATGTAAACAACTATAGGCCAATATCGAGAAACTCGTGCACAGGAGACTATATTCATTTATAACGGCACAAAACATACTCAACCCCTGCCAATTTGGATTCAGGAAAAATAAAAGCACTAATGATGCAATTGTAAAAATGCTAGATCTGTTTTACACAGCATTTGAAAATAAGGAATATCAGTTAGGAATTTTTATTGACCTAGGAAAAGCGTTTGGCACAGTAGACCATGGCATCCTACTCCACAAACTTGACCATTATGGTATAAAGAGGCCATGCGCTTGCATTGTATTTGTGTATACCTGAATAAACTTACTTACTTACTTATAATAATGACACGTGAGATTTTGGGGTTAGAGGACTTGTCCATGCCATGTAAGCTTAATTCAGCCTACAGCGTTAGACATTTATATAATGGTGCTGATAAAGGGATAACAGAGGCATACAAAGGTGATAAATTAAGTAAAAGTTAATCTAGGACAACCAAGATGGTTCCAAGTGACTATTTTGAATGGATTATCGTGGATACATTGTCTCCCATACCTTGGGAGCTTTGATAAACATATATGTAACAAGCTGATAAAACTGTTAAGTACTGGGGCAGGCAATTTAACACTAAGGTGATGTAAATTCGTTGCACTCACTATTTTGGGCAACCTCTTGCAATACGTCAACAAATCCATCTTTCTTCTTTCTTACTTTCTTTGTTGGGTTTATGAGGGCCACTGACAGAATAAGCCGTATGGAGCCCGGTTTCTCGATGGTACGAGGAATCAACTGCCTCCCAGCATATATAAGGGGGATTACTAATAGACACCTGACTGTCTTCAAGCAGGCACTGGAGAGGCACCTAAAGTCAGTACGTGACCAGCCGGGCTATGGTTCGTACATTGGATTACGTACGGCCAGCAGTAACAGCCTGGTTGATCAGGCCCTGACCCTCCATGAGGCCTGGTCACAGATTGGACCGTGGGGGCGTTCACCCCCGGAACTCTCTCCAGGTATACACTATAGCAAACATAACTACACTAAAGAACCCTACACTAAACAACACTACACTAAACAACATTACACTAAACTACACTACACTAAACAACACTACACTAAACAACACTTCACTAAACAACATTACACTAAACTACACTACACTAAAGAACACTACACAAAACAATGCTACCCTAAACAAACACTACACTACACTAAACAACACTACACTAAACTACACTACACTACACTAAATAAACTACACTAAACACTACACTAAACAACACTTCACTAAACTACACTACACTACATTAAATAAGGTACACTAAAGAACACTACGCTACACTAAATAAAACTACACTAAAGAACACTACACTAAACAACACTACACTACACTAAACAACACTACGTCTTCAAGCTGGCACTGGACAAGCACCTAAAGTCGGTTCCTGACCAGCCGGGCTGTGGCTCGTATGTTGGTTTGCGTGCAGCCAGCAGCAACAGCCTGGTTGATCAGGCTCTGATCCACCAGGAGGCCTGGTCACAGACCGGGCCGCGGGGGCGTTGACCCCCGGAACTCTCTCCAGGTAAACTCCAGGTAAACACTGCACTAAAGAACAGTACACTACACTAAACAACACTACACTACACTAAACAACACTACACTACACTAAACAACACTACAATACACTAAACAACACTACACTGCACTAAACAACACTACAGTACAGGCCCGGTGGTCTGGTGGCTAAAGCTCCCGCTTCACACACGGGGTTCGATTCCCGGCGGGTGGAAACATTCCGACACGTTTCCTTACACCTGTTGTCCTGTTCACCTAGCAGCAAATAGGTACCTGGGTGTTAGTCGACTGGTGTGGGTCGCATCCTGGGGGACAAGATTAAGGACCCCAATGGAAATAAGTTAGACAGTCCTCGATGACGCACTGACTTCTTGGGTTATCCTGGGTGGCTAACCTTCCGGGGCTAAAAATCCGAACTTAATCTTATCTTAAACAACACTACACTACACTAAACAACACTACACTAAACAACACTACACTACACTAAACAACATTACATTACACTAAACAACACTACACTACACTAAACATCACTACACTAAACAACACTACACTACACTAAACAACACTACACTACACTAAACAACATTACACTACATTAAACAACACTACACTACACTACACTACACAAGACTACACTACACTATACAACACTACACTACACTACACTAAACAACACTACACTACACTATAACACACTACACTACACTAAACAACACTACACTACACTAAACACTACACTACACTATACAACACTACACTACACTACACTACACAACACTACACTACACTATACAACACTACACTACACTAAACAACACTACACTACACTATACAACACTACACTACACTAAACAACACTACACTACACTATAACAACACTACACTACACTACACTAAACAACACTACACTACACTAAACAACACTACACTACACTATACAACACTACACTACACTACACTAAACAACACTACACTACACTAAACAACACTACATTATACAACACTACACTACACTATACAACACTACACTACACTACACTAAACAACACTACACTACACTATACAACACTACACTACACTAAACAACACTACACTACACTAAACAGCACTACACTACACTACACTAAACAAGACTACACTATACACTACATAATCCAACACACTGCAAATACACCACTACATAATCCAACACATTACATAATATACTACACAAGTACTACAATGTTAGACATTATTTTGCACTATACGTACAATGCTGTACAATACACATAACTAATACCTAAGAAGACTACTCGTTATTAATTCAGTAATTTACAGGATTCTACCACAACTAATATGTTTCTAAGAAGACTATAACATTACTTCCGTAATTTATAGGACTCTAGGGTAACTAATTTTAAGTGAGCAGTCTCTGGCGAGAACCTCTCATCTCTCATCTTGGATATACAAAGGTTGTACTTCCAGCGATAATACTTAAGTATTCGTCGGATCTAAGAAGAGTGTATTACTTCAGTAATTTATAGGATTCTAGGGTAACTATATTTAAGTGAGCAGTCTCTGGCGAGAACCTCACATCTCTCATCTTGGATATACAAAGGTTGTACTTCCAGCTATAATACTTAAGTATTCGTCGGATCTAAGAAGAGTGTATTACTTCAGTAATTTATAGGATTCTAGGGTAACTATATTTAAGTGAGCAGTCTCTGGCGAGAACCTCACATCTCTCGTCTTGGATATACGTACAAAGGTTGAACTTCCAGCAATAATACTTAAGTATTCGTCGGATCTAGGGTAACTATATTTAAGTGAGCAGTCTCTGGTGAGAACCTCACATCTCTCGTCTTGGATGTGCAAAGGTTGTACTTCCAGCGGTAATACTTAAGTATTCATCGGATCTTCGAAGACATCCACCAAAATGCGGATCATAAAGTTGGATTACCAGTGGGCAAATTATGTTGGCTTCACTGCAAGGAGTGGTACCCAAGATGTATATTTTATTATCGATACCGGTTCTCCAAACTCTTTAGTCTCAAGATCATTTCTGAATGGTTGTGAAATCAAGAACAAAAAGAGTTACGGGGCAATTGAAACCTGTAGGATTGTTTTACGTTTTCAAGGATATGGAATAGACCTCCCTGTTACCATAATAGATGGTAATTTGAATTTTGGTCTTCTAGGCATGGACTTCTTGGTTGGCCATCAATGTTCCCTGGAATTTATGTATGATGAGCCACAGCTTGTAGCTCGTAAACTATTATTCAAGACATTTACTCCTCGGCACATGTTCCAAGAGCTGGAGATCGAGGGCCAAGCTGCAATATGCCATTTGGACACCGGAAGTCCTATGTCAATCATAACAGAGGAAGTGGCCCGCAAATTCGGCCTAAAATTAACTAAACTACGACGTCCATTATCCATAAATACTGTATATGGTGTGGCACCGGTTACACATTTAGCTCTAAATGTTAAATTAAAAATAGATTCAGAGATAATAAATGTTGATTTTCAAGTTGTAAAAAAATTTATGCATCCTATAATCATTGGACTCCCAGTGTTAAAGAAACTGAAGGTAATAAATTTTACAAAACAACGGCATAAAATTTCTCCCGAGAGACACGTTTCTTACAGTGATGTAGTTAGAGATTATACCAGAGGACTTCCTCTTAAACAACGTATAAAGGAAGGTTTTCTCAAATTGTTTGGTTGTTTTGTACATAAGAATTAAACACTTGATTGAACTTTTAAAATATATATTTTGTTATGTAATAAGCATTGCATCAAACCTGCATTATATGTTCAATATATGTTTTTTACATAAAGGAAGCATTTTTTTTATAATAATATATAAAGGAAAACGATATAATTTACATTGTTTTAAAGAATTATGCAAGAGGAGACACAGACAGGACTCCGACTCGAGCTTCTGCACTGGACGGACGTACCTGCTCCCGATTGGCTCGACACAGAGAAGGAATCAAGAGAAGAGGAACTCTTCATCTGGCTCCAGGACTTGGTGCGTCGCTGGCTGCCTGCCCCAGGGCAGACAGTTGGCCTCTGCACTCTTGTAGCTGGGTGAAGTCTTCCCTACTCTGTCTCCCTACGATCCCCGTTGGGGAGGGGAACCTTTACCAGCGTCGTCTTCACCTTGACTTACACGATGAGCTACGCAAATCGTGTAAAGATCAAGCCAAAAAGTGGTACCGTTGATGATTCAACGAAGATTGCACTTGCAACTGTTGTTCAGGGAGCACTGCAAGTTAAATTCAACACCATTTTGTCCCTGAAAGAAGCATTCATTGTTGTGTGTCACGATGATGCTGAAGCAGAGAAGCTACTCACTACAGATGCCACCACTACACTTACCACTCAAGGGTTTACTGTTACGTCATCTCCTGCCCTCAGGGCTAGGAAATCAGTATTCCTTAAAAAACTCGACAAGATTCTGACGTCTCAAACACCAGCAGAACTCAAAACATCCATCGAGACGCAAAATACTTGGGCTACAGTTGACAGCATTACAAAAATCCGAATGCATCGTCCATGCTCAAGGTCACCTTCACCGACGTGAACATGGCTGCCACTGCCCTGAACGAAGGTCTTGCTGTTTACTACTACTACATCAGTCCTACCTACATTGAAGCAGAGAGATATCAGTACATCCAACATTGCTGGAACTGTTATTCATACCATCACACCACCAAAGCATGTCCAGTGAAGGACAAGAAGTTCTGCACTACATGTGGTAGTGAGGGACACACCTTCAGTTCCTGCACCGCTGCTACTCCACCACAACCATCGTGCTTAAACTGTAAAAGTAACGACCACCATACACTGGCAGCAAAATGTCCTACACGAAAGGATATTGTGAAGAAAACACAATAAGCAGCAAAGAAAAAACCTACTAGCAACACACCAACGTATGCAGCAATTGCAAAGATACAAGCTAACACTTCAAAATTACTTCAAGCATCTACTCAGCCAGCCTCCACCACCATCACTCCTCCAGCATGTGACGTAACCAAGATCCACTACTGTTTACTATACGCTCACATGCAGAACATGGCTGTACCTAGATCTTTTAACTCTACCATCATCGAGTTATTTGCACTAAATAATATGCCATCATTCATATTCCCAGCATCTCCACCTTCGGAAGAAATACTAAAATTCACCAAGGACCTAATCAACACTTCTGCATCAGCAGCTCCAACACCACCAATACCTAGTGACGTCACTCCAACAACGCCTCCTATTCGTCGAACTCCTGCTCGTCGATTGACTCGTCGTGGCGGCGTACCTCCTTCACCTCCACTCACCACTACTCATATGGGCCAATCAGAAGCCACGATTCTCCCACAGTCTTCTACACACTCTCTAGCGGAAACACCAACAATGAAAGCACCTTCAATGCTGCAACCACCAACAAAAACCTCTCCAGCCATCTCTCGACGTATTAATACAGAAGACCA